AATCCAACAAAACCCTAGGAAATAAAGTGTCTCCTACTTTGCATGGGATAGTGAACATGCCTGGATCGTTGCATTTTTCCGGGAGTTTCCTCTGAAAAATTGCTGAGGCACGTTCACTAACCTTGACCTCTTGTTTCCCTTTCAATTTATTTTTTCTTTTCATTGTGCATAGTTCTTTTAAAAACATTGCATAACGGGGAACACTTTTGATTAGTTTGAAGAGTGGGATATTTACCTCACAATTGGCGAAGGTCTCGTAGAGGTCCCGATTATTCTCCAGCTTCCTTGTGTCCTTCAGCGCCTCAGGGAATGGAGGGAGTGGTTCATATGATGAAAGTGGAGGGAATCTAGTCTTCGTTGGTTCCCCCTCGTTGTGGTCAAACTCGTCATTGTCAACCTTTTCTTTTTTAGCCTCCTTTATTTGTGTTTTTTCAAAGATGATGAGACGGAGGCGGGATAGTACCTTTCCAGGAAGCACTTTTTCATTGCCGCCCATGTGTCTATACTTCCCGCAGGAAGATAGAATAGTCAATCCTTTGCGGTGTCTTTGAGGGAGAATGGAAAAGCCCTCAACTCTATTTGCTCCTCGGTGACTCCATTTGGGCACATGCTCGTGCAAACAATATGGAATTCTGAGAGATGTTTGTTTGGTTCCTCTCCTCTTAGCCCGTGGAAAGATGGAAGTAGATGAATGAGCCCCGATTTAAGCTCAAATGTAGCACCCGCATCGAGAGTGGGAAAGGTGATGCATAGCGGTTGTTGGTTGAGATTAGGAGTCGTGAGCTCCCTCAATGTTCTTGTTTCTTGAGCCATAGTGATTGACTCTTCGTTCTCTCTATAATAAGAACTAGCACTTGATGATTCCTCCGAAGAAGTATTCGGAAATAAATTCCTAAACCTCTCGAAGGCTTGTTCTGTTTCGGGGTTTGTTTGGTAGGTGATTTGGTTTATATATCAGTGCATGTTTAACCATATACTCAAACAAAGCTCAGAAGAATAAAAATCTCTATATTTAAGTAATATATTTTTTTTCTTTTTTTTTCTTAAAATAAAATAAAAATAAAAATTAATTGCCTCTCCCCGGCAACGGCGCCAAATTTGACGAGCACTTTGTCACGGTGCGTCAAAATAAATTCAATACTAGCACTAATACGTAGTATAGTGAAGTAGAGTTCGTAACCATAGGGAAAAGAATAATTCTCTTTTTATGAACTAGGGAATAAGAGGGGGGTTTTGGTATTGTTGGAATTTAAATAATTAAATACTAAGATGAATGACTTATATGAGTTTTAATTTAAAGATAAAAAGAACTTGGCATTGCTACTTTCCACTTGTTGATATATTTTAGTCGATCATTGTTATATCTATAACTTATCCCCTTTCGAATACTCAATCGAGGAGTATATCCAATTCATCGAGGGTAGTTATTAACAACGACCGTTCGTTAATAACCCTTACTATTAGTCAAGTATAGAACACCGCCATATACCGACTTGATAGTCGCATTTAATCTTTTAACTCCTTGATGAAATCAATTGAGATTGATAACCTCAACACAATGGTTTCGGTTTAACCAACAAAATTAATCCCTCTTAAGTTTATTAACCACGACTGCATGTGCATTAATAAACTGAAGTTACTTACTTGTGAAACCATCAACGATTAATCATCGGTTCGTTGAACGTTTCTAGTAGTAATTAATGTCGAGATGTTAACTAATTGTCATCTTAGCAACACTCCTCAACATTAATATAGAGATAGATTAAGGGAAGAATTAATATTCAAGGAAGAAGATTAAAGATGAATAATCCTACTATAACTAATGTCAAGATGTTAACTAATTGTCATCTTAGCAACAATCCCCAACATTAATATAGAGAAAGTAAATAAATACTACTATAACTAATGTCGAGATGTTATCTAATTTTCATCTTAGTAACACTCCCCAACATTAATATATAGATAGATTAAGGGAAAAATTAATATTCAATGGAAGAAGTTAAGAAAATAACTTACAACTTTAATAATCAACAAGCTTCAAGAGCAACGCCAAGAAATGGATGTTTAGCTCCTCATTTGGAGACTAAAAATGTTATAAAAATATAAAAGAAATACTATTCTAAACTGAGCTTAAGAGTATGGAAGAAGGAGTTGAAATTAGTGAAGGAAAAGTGTGCTATTTATAGGTGTTTTTCAACACCTTTGGCCGGGTACCCGACCGGGTAGAATATCCACCCGACCGGGTACCGGTCCAAATCAAATATCTTCCACGTTCTAGTGTTCTTCAGCACGTCGGAGTGTCCTCGGTCAAGTCTCGCCCAACCGGGTGAGGTATAGGGCCCGACCGGGTGATCCCAATTTCCTGGAACCTGCAGCTGTTAAGTCTTACCTGACCGGGTGAAGATCTCTACCCGGCCGGGTAGGTTCCCTGGGCAGATTTTGTTCATGTTTTTCTCCTTTTCCAAAGTGTACAACTCTACCACTACTTTACAACTTACAATTGAAGATTAAAATACAATTACAACTAAAATCACACAAGTCTTTGCAAACTAAATAAAATGATAAACAATACACACAAATCAAACATAAAAACATACACTTATGCACTACTAATTAGTGCATATCGGGCATCAACGTTTGGGCCATATAGCACGAGATCGAATTTAAAGACTCGTGAGGGATGGAGTATTACCAACTTTCGACTTCAATGATTTTAAGACATGTGTGAAATGCCTTAAGGGCAAAATAGAAAAGGGAAATAAAAGAGGCGCCACAAGGATTTCTAATTTGTTAGAACTTATACACACAAATATTAGTGGACCTTTTCCCACCAAAATTTCTGGACAAAAGTCATTTATCACTTTATAGATGATCACTCACATTATATGTATTTGTATTTAATTAAAGAGAAATCCGAATCACTTGACATGTTCAAAGCCTTTAAGACCGAGGTTGAAAATCAACTCGACCGTATAATAAAGGTAGTGAGATCGGATAGAGGGGGTGATGATTATGGTAGACATACTGATATTGGTTAGGCTCGCGGTCCTTTTCTTTGACTTTTGTGAAGAACACGGGATTGTGAACAAATTTATCATGTCGGGTACTCCTAAGCAAAACAGTGTTGCTGAGAGAAGAAATAGGACTCTCATGGATACAGTAAGAATCATGTTACCCAATACCACCTTACCTCAATTCGTATGGATCGGACTGAGGCATTAAAGACGACAGTTCATATACTCAGTAGGGTTCCTTCTAAATGGATGTGTTCGTAAGACACCTTGTGAAATCTGGACAGGAAGGAAACCAAGCTTGAGATATATGAAAGTTTGGGGCTGCCATGCCGAAGCTAAGCTCTATAACTCTCAATAAAGAAAGCTTGACATGAAAACAGTCAATTGTTTCTTTATTGGGTATCCAGAACGATCAAAGGGATATAGATTTTATTGTCCTTATTCAACTCGTATAGTTGAAACTCGCCATGCCGAGTTCGTAGAAAACGTAACTCTAATATTAGTGGGAGGAATACACATCATGATGTTAACCTACAATTATGGAGGCCTACGATTATGGAGGTATATGAACATATATGTGATTAATGACACATATCTGCATCGGTTTAACTCCTCAATGGTTCAATGATTACCTGCACAAGAAAACAATTTTGAAGGTCTTAAGCCATTCAAATTTTAGAACATACATAGTATAAATTATTCATTATAAATTAATGACAGTAGCTGAAAATAGTTAGAATTAGTGACATTTATCTGCACACATATGCAAGAGCTTAAGGACATAAGGTTAGTCTAAGCAAAAATGCAGCTATAATAGGGAAGAAAGTTGAACTTGAAAGAAGTATAATAATCGAAAAAATTCTGAAAATGAAGACATCTAAATTGCATTTTAAATACATGGGGGTTTCTATCTACCAAGGAATTACTAGGCCTCAGCATTGTATTCATCTCATTGATCTCTTTGACTTAAAGCGTAGCTTCGGGAAAAAGAACATCTTAAGCCAGAGGCGTCGGTAGGCAGTGATCACGGTGACCGGCAACGGGCATAGTTAATGGTGGTGGCGAGGCTCTGTTACATCGAGTGACTGAGGTGTCATGTTAATGTGAACTAAGAAAGGCCCATAATTAAAAGAAAGGCGCATTAGGAAAAGAAGAATGGACAAAAATGTCAATTTAGTCACATTTTTGAAATTTTTTAAATCTAGTTCTATTTTGTCTTTGCGCTTTCATGTAGTATTATCTTATACAGAATTCCATAAAAGAAAGGCACATTAGGAAAATAAAAAAGCTCAATCATAAAAAAATATGGTAGCACTGTTGCAAACTAAGGATATTTTTACATGGACTGAATTTTTTTGGCCTAGTCTGGTCTGGTCTGATCCGAACTTGTATGAACTGATCTGGTTTGATAATTGACTGATTTCTCTGTATTTTACAACTATCGAGTCTGGTGTGAACTCTGATATGACCTTATCTGGTGTAGTCTAATCTTGACTTGTCTAAATTGGTCTAGTCTCATCTGATCTGATATGAGACCAAAATAAGTTCAATCAAAACATTATAATAATAATAAAAATAATAAAAAGAGCTCATATGATAAGATCATGGGTGAGTGATGCCCATGAAAAGAAAGTAAACAAGCACCTTAAGGGTCTGTTTGCAACAGCTTCTACTTTTAAAAAAACCTTTTTTAATGAAATGGGGAGAAGTGATTAAATAAAAGTTGATAGTGTTTGAGAAAAAAGTGATTTTGAAAAGTAAAAGTGGGTAGTGTTTGGTAAAATAAGTGCTTTTTGTGTAATAGAAAAAGTAAAGCACTTTTGACGCGGAAGCCGAGGAAAATAAAAGTTGTAGTGTTTGGGAAAATAAGTGCTTTTTTAAAGGCAAAAGTTGAGAAGTGCTTTTTTTTTTAAAGCAGTTGCAAACCAACCTTAAATCGATCCAGACTTGGGCCAACAACGTAAGGTGAGTAAACGAACAGATCAATGGCATTCCAAAGGACGACGGTACGATGTAAACGAGCCCCCATATCCAACTACCATTTGTATTGCATGACCCCGCTCTTTCCCTCTTCTGCGTAGGCAGCGTAGCCAGCCAGATATGATCGACGACGGAAATGAAGGAGCTAGGTCCGGTCCCGTGTACGGAAGCAGAGCTGGGAGTGGCAGGGTTCATAAATCACAATTGAGTGAGATCATATCGGGTAAGAGATAGTAATATTTGAGTGATCGAAAACAGTTCTTCATACTCTTCTTCCCTATAAAATGTACCATTCGTTTCTATAGGCATATCTGCGTTCAAACTCTCAAAATGAAATGCATCACATTTCTACTCTGTCTCGCATTTCTACTATGCACATCCGCCCACATCATCACCTTCAACCAAACTCTCCGAGACGGCGATGTATTACTCTCTAGTGCAAACTCATATGCCCTCGGATTCTTTACCCCCGGAAAGTCCACCGGAAAACGGTACCTCGGCATTTGGTACCAACACATACCAGAACTAGTGGCTGTCTGGGTCGCTAACCGAGACAGCCCGGTAAACGGAACATCCGGGGTCTTCTTCATCGACGCCACCGGGAATCTCGTCATCCAGGACAGGAACACCAGCGCCACCGTCTGGAACACCAGTCTTTCTTTTCCGGCGACGGGGTTACAGAGAGATTCTAATTACTCTGTTCAGCTCCAGGAAACAGGGAATCTGGTTTTGTACCACGACCCGGATAGACGGGTCACAGCATGGGAGAGTTTCGACTACCCGACCAATATACTCTTGCCTCACATGAAATTTGGAATCAACAAGAAAACCGGGTTGAAGCGGTTCCTGACCTCGTGGAAGTCACCGGATGATCCGGGCACAGGGGAGTACTCTCTCAGAGCAGACTTTACTGATCCGCCTCAGGGATTCATGTACAAAAATTCGGTCCGGGTTTGGAGGCTCGGGTTGTGGATCGGATCCGGGTGCAGCAACATCCCTCGAATGTCAATAAATTTCACCCCATACACTGGCATCATCGACGAAGACGAGGACAGTCTGTCTTACACGGTTCCTGATCCGACGGTGTACACAGTATTGATGTTGAATGAAACCGGGACGATGAATCGGATCATATGGATAGGAGATGGCCCGAAGATGAAGCAATGGGCCGGGCTGTGGTACATTCCCAAAGACAAATGCGACTCATATAACCCGTGTGGCGCATTTGGCATTTGCAATCCATACATTCCGGGCGGGTCGGGCTGTCAGTGCCTTTCTGGGTTTGAGTCAAATTCGTCAACCCAAGAGTGGGCCTTGAGAGACGACCGACATAGCTGTCGGAGGGAAGCCAACACGGACACCTGCCCGAACGGTGACGGGTTTCTGAAGCTCACAAACGTTAACATACCCTACGCTGAAATGACGTTTTCGGACACGAAAATGGGGTTTAAAGATTGTGAAGAACATTGTGTGAAGAACTGTTCGTGCACTGGATATGCTAGACAAGATACTACTATCCATGGAGGAGATGGATGTCTCAATTTTTATGGGGAGTTGACGGATATGAGAGAGTTTGCTAATGGCGGCAGAGATGTGTATATACGAGTCTCCGCATCTGCTTCAGGTTTCATGATAATAACTCCCGTAGTACATAATTATTTCTTAATTAATATTCCTTCACCGCTCAAGCTTCTTAATGATATGGTTTTTTTTCCTTAATGATATGGTTATTTGAATAATAATTAAATAGGATAATTCAAGTATATTTTCAGAACAGATAATTGTGTTGGGTATAATTTAATGAACCATTGATGATAATTGTGATGTTACAAGTGTATTATTTTTAATACTATGTATTTGATGATTAATTTGTTATTTAAGAATTCTAATTATTTACTAAAATAGGAATGCAAAGTCAGAACTTCTAGCTAGGACGTCTAAAAAAGATAAGTGAGAAGCTTGAGCGGGAACATGATGTTCATACCATTTATGATATTTTTAATCGCAATGATTTCGGTTTCATACAAGATCAAACAATACCATATCAAACTAGACCAGATCAGACTTTAAAATGGCAAAAAATATATAGAACATAATCTACTAGACCAGACCATTCTTAACAAGACCAAACCAGATAATATGACAATCCGATTAAAAATATCCCTACTCCGTAAACTATAAATATTTCTTATAAAATATGTCATTGGTTAAATTTTATTTTAATGATTAAAAATTAAAGATAACAAAAATTTAAAATGACATAGAGGTATGCTATTTGATTTGCATTTGTGCTGTAACTTTTTACTCCCTGTGTATGTCCTCAGCGATGCCTTTAAAGAAATCTAAGGGGCTCCATCCGAAATGGCTAATACTAAGCACGGGTATATCTTCAGCTGTAGTGATCCTTCTCCTGCTTTATATGACATGGAAAATGAGAAAAGGTATGTATATACTATGTATGTCATTAATTGATTATTGGGGATCGTGAAATGCATCACAACTTTTAATCATAGTCCATTAGATAAGGAGTATTGTGCGTTCGAAAATTTACCTTAAGATCCTTTTTATTTGATCCAAACTACACATATAAATAATTAGGTTCAAATGAGAAAATGATCTTAGGAGAAAATTGAGACTAAATGTTGACCTTTAGATTTGTTTTATGTGACATTTAATATGCATTAGATGAAATTGAAATGTGCATTAGGTGAAATTGAAATGTGTAGTGCAAAGTACGATACATTGGCATTATGTGAAGTTAAATGGTGCATTAAGTGATATTGAAATGTGCATTAGGTAAAACTGAAATGTATAAAATAAAATGTATGATCTAATGTCATTTTTATACCTTTTATTCTGCACATTTCAATTTCACCTAATATACATTTGAATTTAACCTTTTATTATGTACATTTCAATTTCATCTAGTGCACATTTCAGTTTCACCAAATGCACAATTCCGTTTCACATACAATCCAAAAGTCCAAATTCATTCTCATTCTCTCCTGAGAGTCCTTTCCTACCGGAATCGTTGCCTATATATAATTATATCATGCAGTCTGTGATCATAACGCTTTTGTGCTAATTGAAAACTTGCAAGGAGATCAAGGAGATGTGACCTTAAGCCAATTTTAGGAATTAAATAAGCAATCACAATGAATTGTAATTGTAAATCCCTAATAGCTTTAATTTAAAGGCATATGATTAAAGGGTCGTTTGGCAACACTGTTTTTCGGCTTATCAGGCTTAACAACCAACTTTTTCACAAAACACGTAATTTTTGCTTTTGCGCGCTGAATTGTGTAATAAGCAGAAAAAGTAAGGTTGGAGTTACTTTTCTGGCTGTATTGGCTGAAGTTACTGTAGATGATCATTTTAACTATTTTAAAATATAATTTTTTCTTTATTCTATTGATAAAATATATTTTAAAAATAATTTTTTCTTCAATCAGCAGAATCAGCCAATACAGCCACTTCAGCCAGAACTTCATAAATTTCAGCAGAATAAGCCAAATCAGCCGATTTTTATGCTAGCAAACGGGCTCTAAGATGCAAAAGATTAAGGGTGTGTTGGCACAACTAGCTCCAAAAATATTATATTAGTTTTTAGCTTTTGGTGGTTGAAAAGATCTTAAAAGGAAAAATGCAGTAGTTGTTTGATAAAAAGTTGACTGTTTGATTTAGATTTGTTTGATATACTATCCTCCGTTCTTTAATTCTTGCAACAGTTTAACTTTCACGTTTGTCAACGCACAACTTTGACTTAACTATATTTAATTGTGTGTTAGTAAACATTATAAAAGGTTGATATTTTGGAAATTCAAATTGATAGGAATTCAATAATATCTTATACGTAATAATTTGATTATGTATATTAGTAGAAAACTGTGGTCAAAGTAACGTCTGTGAATAGTGTAAAAATCACAATATTGCAACAATTAAAGAACGGAGAAAGTACAAGATAGTGAGACTAATTAATGCTAAAAAATATAGACTTTTCTCAGATGCTATTCACTGTAATATATCAAAAAAGATTTTTTGTGTTTTAAAAAGTTTTTAAAAATTGTCATGTCAAACATACAACTAGAAGCTTTTAGAAACTTACAAAAGTTAAAAGGTAGGAACTTATCCTACCAAACATGCACTAATGTTGAAGACAAAAGTAAATTTAGCTTCTGCAAATTCTGTCTGTGGTTGACTAATGGAATTCTAGAGGAGGCCATGAAGAGTACATGCGGTTTTATGTTTTTTAAGAAAATTTTCTCGAAACAAGAGTAAAAAAAATTTCAAAATAGGATTGTTATGTTTTTGTTTTATAAATAGGAATAATTACTGTAAAACTTGAAAAACATTGTCATGTTTATTGTCTCATACTGCCAAAATATGACATTGACTATTCCTATTTAGGGAATAAAAACGTAACGGTCCTATGAGACACTACATTAATTAGGGATTTCAAACCGCATTCCTAACAATTGTAGCCCTCTTTTTCACTACATTAATTAATTATTGCTTTATGAGACACTAAATAACAAATAAAAGAAGTACCACCTCCATCTCATATTATGTGTCCTATTATTTTGGTTTGACACAATTATTAATAGTGGTTATACAAGTAAAAGTTGTAATTCAAGTTTAAGTATATTAGAAAATGTTATAGACCACGTATTTCTTTCCAAGAAAGTAAATATGACACTTATTTTGGGACAACCCAAAAAATAAGACAAGTAAAATGTGACGGAGAGAGTATTACTGTAGTATGACAAGACGTGTGATATGGCATAACCGCATAACTCCATACTGCTATTGGTTAAAATATTTGGTACCAAAACCTATTAATTTTGGTACCAAATGTTTGGTACCAAATTCTATAACTTATAGTGACCAAGATTATTGTATGAAGTATTATTTATTTGGACGTTTATCACAATCAATATTTCTTCGAATCTTTGATCCTGATATACATTACCAATATTCATTCAATCATATGAAGGGTCTTCAAGTGCAATAAATCTGGAAGAAGCAACACCAGCAGATGTAGTAGTCTTTGATCTCGACACAATTAAATTGATCACTGAAAACTTTTCTGCTGAAAGTAAACTTGGAGAAGGAGGGTTTGGTTCTGTACACAAGGTTAAAACATCCCCTTAAATTCTATCATAGTTTTGTTTTGTTTTGTTTTCCTTCTTATGAATACTTTCCTTCTCTATGAGTTATTTAATCTAGCTTAGATTTATTATACTTAATTAGCGTGCATGTGCTTATAGGGTAAGTTGCAAAATGGAAAACTTGTAGCTGTCAAAAGGCTCAAAACAAATTCAGATCAAGGGATAGAAGAATTCAAAAATGAAGTTATGCTGATTGCAAGATTACAACATAGAAATCTTGTAAGGCTGTTAGGATGCTGCATTCAACAAGGGGAAAAGATGTTGGTATATGAGTACTTGCCTAACAATTCCCTCGACTACATTATCTTTGGTATGAGTAATTAATTTATAATACACATATTGGCGATATTGCTAGCTTATCTTTATTCGATTTAGTCATTACATTAATTGTTTAATTATAAATTGCTATTCCAAATAGAAGTATAACATGGCGTAATGTATTGCGTATATAAAAAGAAACATTTTTCCTTGATTTTTATAAAATGACTCTTTAGTGCAAATAAAATAAGGAATTAAAGAAAGGGTTCAATATATCTTTCTACTATTTTCAATCCATCACTTAAACTCGTCTACTAAAAAAACATCGAACTCATACTTGTAATATACAATTAATGAAGTTATTTTGACATTTTAAATTATGTTGATAAATCTTATAAAAATTCATATAACTTTGAAATATAATGTAATAATAATATAAAAATAGTATAAAAATAAAAATTGATAAATAATTAAATAAAATTAAAATAAATAAAATAAAAATCAGAAAACTTAAAAAATAAAGCGAAAACCTAAAACTTTTAAAATTTAAAATAAAATGTATAAAGTGCATAAAACTTTTAAATAGATATAGAATATAAAATTATTTAAAAATTGAAAATTTATTGACTTTAGCATTCTAAAAAATTTCATAGTTTTTATCTATATTTCTTCAAGTTCAAATAAAATTTAAAGTTTTTAATATGAAAAACTGCTATTGCAGGTCAATAACTGATTCAATGACCAAATTGATCAATTTTTTAAAGTAAACATACAAATATGTTACTTTTTTTAGTATAGACGCTTAAGTAAGAATTGATTAGAAATAGTAGAAGACTGTATTTGACTCTTTTCCAAATAAAATAAAAAAGTACTTTTAACTTTCACTTTAAACCAGATCAGTCATATAGTGACAAAAAAACAATGGTTGTTCTATGTGAGAAGATATAATATATTTCCATTGTGTTTTGGGATTTCTCTTTGACAATTGATCATGAGCAAAAAACTTTATTACTCAATGTTTATAAATGCATGCAGATAATAAGTTAGGGATTCTTCTGGATTGGAAAAAACGTTTTGAAATCATATTAGGAATCGCTCAAGGATTGTTGTACCTTCATCAAGATTCAAGGCTAAAAATTATCCACCGAGATTTAAAAGCAAGCAATGTTCTATTGGATGATCTTATGGAACCAAAAATATCTGATTTTGGAATGGCTAGAATTTTTGGAGAAGAACAAACAGAAGCGAACACAAACCAAGTAGTTGGAACATAGTAAGTATATATTGTCCATGCACACGATTGTTCATGAATATTTTCGATTAATTTAATTTGATGATTTCCCATCTTAATTTATTATCACAGCGGTTATATGTCACCGGAATATGCCATGGAAGGTCTCTTTTCTGTTAAATCGGATGTATTCAGTTTCGGAGTTCTGATGCTCGAAATTGTGTGCGGAAAGAAAAACAAATATCAACACACAGAGAACTCTGTTAATTTGATGGGAGATGTAAGTGCATATATAGATGTAGTCTATTTTCATTATTAAAAAAAAAGAGTGAATTGTTTAGCTTGTTGCATATTTTCAGGTATGGGATTTTTGGAACGAACAAAGACCATTGGGCTTAGTGGATCCATCATTGGGGGAGCAGTCCTATGATACGCGAGAAGTTTTGAGATGCATCCACGTCGGACTTTTGTGCGTTCAACCAATACCAAATGATAGACCCAATATTTCAGAAGTGATATTTATGTTGAGTAATGAAACAAAACTCCCTAGTCCTAATCCACCGGGTTTTATGATCAGAAAAGGATATAGCACTACTACATCCTCATACACTGAAAGTGGTGGTTATCAATCTCTCAGTATGACATTTACTCAAATCGAAGGTCGATGAGATTTGTATGACATTTTATGCATGCATATTTGAATTATTATATATGTGATTTTGTAATGTAGTATTATTTTAGCATATGTGATGTCTTTAAAAGTGATGTATTGTATTCCCTTTGACTCGTGATTAATTCGTGGGTTGAATTTGTATGATTTTAATAATGTGGAATTAGAAGTACTACATTTGCTTTGAGCTTCTTCTTAAATAACGTTATATATAACATTTTATATCCTTTGGATTGTGCAACACAAATTAGAATAGATGTATCCAAAAAGGAATCAGAATAGAAAATCTCATTTCCTATGAGGACTTGGCATTACAAGACTGATGCACCATGGATTGTAGAGGTTGGCTTAAATGTTTTGACCTCCATCATTGAGGACCAAGGGAGATCTAAAGCACGTCATGAGTGTATGGTTCTGTGTGCGGGTTGATGTCCAAACCCTAGTTCTGTGAAATGTGTTACATTACAAAGTTATTTTTTAATATATTATCTTTCATTAAATTACTATTCACAATTAGCGAACGTTTGTTTGAAGTAAAATGACGAATTATATATATATTCTATAAAATATATCTTACAAAGTATTTAAACATTCACAACATCTCATTGAAAGGTTCTCATGACAAAAAGGCACAATTATTTACTCGATAATTACATAAGGTAGTTCGAGTATATTTTGAAAAATAATTTTAATAGGTATATAATGGAAGATTTACATAAAGAATGTATATATGTGGGAAAACAGCTAAAACAAGTAAATAAGCTAATTACATAAGGTAGTTCGAGTCAATTTAACTAGAATAGAAACTTGAGCCTTTCTAATTTTGATCATTACACAACTCAGTGCATGAAATAAAAAAGTATGTGTTCGATGAAAAAGGTAAGTTTGCTTATAAGACTGATAAGGCTGATAAGTCGAAAAACAGGATCATCAAACGGGCTCTAAATAAGTACTCCCTCCGTCCCGTAGAAAGGTTCCCACACAGTTTACGATGTTTGACTGACCATAAAAGTTAACTAATCCCTATCCGTAATTAGATTTCTTTAATAAATAAAAATTAAATATTCAGAAACTACATTAAAAGTTTTATAAAGTCGCAAAAGAAAGATTCAAATTTGATAAAAGTTAGATATATAAATTAAAAGATTAAGAAAATTTTACGTTGATCAAAGAACAATGGACGAGAACTTTAAAATGAGACGGAAGTAGTGGTAATTAATATGATGAGTCACTTTTTTAGAAATACTAAAATGTGTCATATTTTTTAAAAAGAAAACACTGGTAATATTATAGGACACATGTTTTCAAACATTCATATTTTCATTATTTCTGTTGGGATATTGGGATTCGGCCCAATAACCCGACCCAGAATATCTTTAGGGCCCAGGGAACAACAACAAAGCCCAATGAACATTAAGCAGATATGAGGATCCTAAACGGGTTCTCAACCCACTGAACATGGACCGTTCGGTAGTTACCGAACGGGTCACGTTCCATACTTGACAAGTAACAGACATGCTTCTTGGTTAACTGGATATATCAGCCTAAAGTACCGATCGAGGAAGTCGTGCAAGTGACTAGAACGCATTTAATGCAGGAGTATGGGCACTCAAGTGGAGGTATGGGTGTTGCAAGTAGCAAAGGGGTCCGCCATTGAAAGTTTGCCACTTCATCCAGCTCACCTACTCATTATTAGTATAAATAGTAGTATCTATTTCAGTAGAAGGAGTTAACATTTTGATACTCACAAGCGTTAGACAATAGACTGTAACTACCGTTCGGTCTTTTCTCTGTAATCATCATTACGCTAATGTAATTGGAGCTATTGAGATCACTTTTGAGATCCAAGAGTTTGTGTTGGACCTTCGGATCTACGGGAATTAGGATGTTTTCTTTTGGACTATTTTAGTCCCAGATCAGACCAGACCAGATCAGACCAGACTAGACCAGACTTGATTTCCGTAGTTATAAAATACACAAAGACCACACGTTTGGCAGACCAGACCAGACCAGTTCAGACCAGACCCGACCAGACCAACAAATTTCAGTCCAAAACAAAACATCCTTAACCTCAACAATTTCATATGTAAAATTTTGAAAAATAACTAATCTTTTGTTTTTATATTTACTTTTTTCAACCAAATTGATGGAACAGGACACATGCGTTGACAGTTTCAATTTTGATTGGAAGTCCATTTGGAGTTTAAACATCATAAGTGCGGCACAGATATACGTTCATTCAATGGCAACACCAATCACAACTATATAAAACACCGAGGTTGAAGACTTGAAGTGTTGAACCATTCAATTACTAAGAGACCGTTTAGCCGCAACAAATTTTTTCGGTTATCAGACTTATTAGCCAACATTTTCATCAATTACGTAATTTTTACTTTCGCGCGCTGAATTGTGTAATAAGCAGAAAAAGTAAGGTTGGAGTTACTTTTGTAGCTGTATTGGTTGTAGGTACTGTAGATAATTATTTTAGCTATTTTTGCATACTCCGAGTATAATTTTTTCTTTATTTTATTAATAAAATATCTTTTAACTTTTTTTTCTTAAATCAACCGAATCAGTAAATGCAGCCACTTCAGCCAGCACTTCATAAATTTCAGCAAAATCAACCAAATCAGCCGATTTTCGGGCTATCAAACGGGCTCTAAGAACCAAAATTACCAAATGCAAATGTCTTCCTCTTCTTTCGCTTTTCAAAACTTTACAAACACGTTCCCTTTCTTGTTTTCTCAATTTTTTTATCCAATTGAAGTAACGTGTTACTTCTTATTGAACGTTGATTTCATATCAAAAAATTTCAACTACACTATTTTTATTTTCTTTTTACATGCATGGCAGTCCTACCTCCAACCCGAGTAAGAGTATTTTTGTTCAGTAACTAATAATAAGTCTTTTTTAAGGGAAATAAATTAGTCAGATCATTGTTCAATACATCAAATACATCAACAATAAAAGAGGGAGGAATCATCAACCAAAACCGACATAGACTTAGAACTGGCCACTCTAGCTAGAGTATGAGCAACCCTGTTTGCATAACGTCTAATATGTGAAAAGGAAATACTACTAAATTCCTAATAATAAGTCTTATTATGGAGTTTTAAACACTAAGTACTATTTTTGAAAAAGAAAAATGATGCAACGTATACACAAATTGTACATAGGGGGTGTTTGGATCTGATTCTTAAAACTGTTTCTGCTCCTCCATAGAGCAGAAGCAGAAGTTGGAGTGTTTTGTTAAAAGTATAGAAGTGATTCTGGTGCTCCAATTTACTCCTAGAATCAGTTTTTTTTAAAAGAAGCAGAAGCAGAATCAGTTTCAAACACCTCATAGTATGTAAAAGTAAAAGTACTTCCATTTTCTCCCCCTCTCCCTTATCTCTCCCTTCCCTCTCTACCCAGCCCCTTCGGTGCAAAAAAAAATTGGATGATCTTCTTCTCTTTTACATCCACATCTTCCCTTTTCCCTCCTCTTTTTCTCTACCTATTATATCCAGTATTTTTATTAAGTATACAAAATCAGCTTATTCATCCTTTTCATCTATTAAAATTGATCACATAGACAACTAAAGTAGATCACAAAGACAACTATTATTTGTGAGCTGCACATCCAACTATTGTCAGTGTGGTAAAATTTATCTTTAAAATCCACATTTGAGTCACACAAAATAATTGTCTGTGCACCACAGGCAATTGTTGTCTGCGCGCACAGGCACTGCACACATATAGATTGGTTTGCACGTAGTTGTCAGTGTGCACATACTATTCTTGTTTGTCTTCACACACAACTCCGTACCATTTGTGTATGACCGTCATTTAGTGTACAACTTGTGTTCAAGAAGCAAAATAGTATTGGAAAACTAACATGTTTTGGTCCTATTTGGGGAGTCTCCCTTTTTTATTTAAAAATTGTTTCAAATATGATTAAAACATAGACAGAATGTGCAAATAGAAGTACATGTGTTTTATTCCCAAAATAGGACTTAGTGGATCCTATTAAAAGTATAAAATTTCCCCATTTAGGAGTATGAGTGTGATATTATAGAAAATCAATGATAGTCTGATTTATGCATTTTGTCAAAGTTTTAGTCCTATTTAAGGAATTTTCCCTTTTTTATTCTTAAAATGCTCCAAGTCAAAATCTGTCTAATCTTCAAGAAGGTACCTGACATATGAAAAGTTAGAATTATAATTAGGTAGATTTTATGATACCCATAAGGTACCTTATCTTTATCCACATTGACTAATCAAAATATTGTATTTGAATTATTTAGATGAAAATTAAAAGTGATATAATGTCTTGGACCAATTAAATGAATGATAGGTACCGTACTCTATTATTTAATTAGGTACCATAATTCTCACCTATCATTAATTTAAAAAAAAATCTCTAAATATTAGCAAACCCACAATTCCTTAGATATAGGTCTCATTATTTAATCTCCTTCTCCAAATAGAATTCATCCCCTCTTAGTTGGGGGATTTTTACTGTTATTGTTTTAATGGAACCAAATAGCACTATTATCTGTTGTTTCAAGTACCTTATCAAATAACCTATGACAAGGATTACTTGCCTAAGAACATCCTTACGTTATGCGCGACTCATTCCTACAATAATTCTAAGATTTCACAATCTCCTTATAATAATCTCTCCCCATATTGTACTATTGTAGAAGAGGTCATTCACTCATTCGTTCATATATACGAAGTATATTGATTGAATACTCTTATTGAGACAGTGGAGAGATGCAACCTGATAAACATGCACTCTATCACATTTGCAGTGCCTCTGTTTTTTCTTCTATGGTTGTGCAGTTCCACATACTCCATGACCTTCAACCAAACTCTCAGAGATGGGGATTTATTACTCTCTGATGCCAACTCATATGCCCTCGGATTCTTTACCCCCGGAAAGTCCACCGGAAAACGGTACCTCGGGATTTGGTACCAGAACATACCAGAACTAGTGGCTGTCTGGGTCGCTAACAGAGACAACCCGGTCAACGGAACATCCGGGGTCCTCTTCATCGACCGCACCGGAAATCTTGTCATCCAGGACCGGAACACCAATTTCACCGTCTGGAACACCAGTCTTTCTTTTCCGGCGACGGGTTTACAAAATCCTTATAATTACTCTGTTCAGCTCCAAGAAACGGGGAATCTCGTTTTGTATCACGACCCGGATAAACGGGTCGCAGCATGGCAGAGTTTCGATTACCCGACAAACACATTCATGGCTTATATGAAATTTGGAGTGGACAAGAAGGCCGGGTTGAACCGGTTCCTTACGTCGTGGAAGTCCCCGGACGATCCGGGGACCGGTGAGTACTCCGCCAGAATGGAGCTCAATGGGACGCCTGAGGCGTTCATGTACAAGAATTCGAGTCGGGTCTGGAGAGTCGGGTCATGGAACGGAGTCGGGTGGAGCAACATCCCGGAAATGTCAAGAAATTTCACTGCATACAATTACACCGAGAACAGAGATGAGGTCACGCAGTCCTACACGGTTCGTGATCCGACGGTGTACACAATATTGGTGCTGAATGGGTCAGGGACCTTGAATCGGATCATATGGCAAGGAAATAATGATATGGGTCAAAAGACCAAGAAATGGGTCGGGTTATGGTACGTGCCCAAAGACAACTGCGACGCATTCGACCAGTGTGGCGCGTTTGGCATTTGCAATCCATACAACCTAGACGGGTTTGACTGCAAATGCCTTCCCGGGTTTGAGTCAAACTCATCAACCCAAGAATGGGGCTTGAAAGACGGTCGGCATAGTTGTCGGAGAGAAGCGAATACCGACACATGCCGTAACGGCGACGGATTCCTCAAGCTCACAAACGTTAATATCCCCGACAGTGAAACAGCGTTCTCGAACAGGGCGATGGGGTTCAAAGAATGCGAGGAGCGTTGTGTGAAGAACTGTTCGTGCATTGGTTACGCGAGAGCAAATATTAGCGCGGGAGGGGAGGGATGCATCAATTGGTATGGAGAATTGAGAGATATGAGGGAATTCGCTAATGGCGGCAGAGACATGTACATACGAGTCTCCTCATCTGCATTAGGTATGTTGATTACTCTCTATCCCGACTAACTGACTAAGAATATTTCAATTTTTATTTCAAATTACTGTTTGTACATGCCAATGTATATCTGGTTTTTGTGTGTAGACAATTTTTTTTATTTTTAGGATTATTAGCTTATTTTATCTCAAACTATATATCATCAAATTCACAAATTTATCATATTCTTTCTTTTATAAAAAAGATTCAAACTTCATCTTTTTCAACAATTATGTTTTTCTTTTTTTGTTTTTTCAAAATTACACATTTTTTTCAATACCAATTACATATAAGCAATACAAGTTTCCAAACTTAAAAGTAGAAATAAGTGAAAAAATGTGAAATATAAATATGATTTTCTTCTTAAGTTTTACTAATTCATTCATTGAAAGTGGAATTGTGAGAAAGATTGAAGTTTGAGTCTTTTTTTAATAAAAGTGAAAGTATGAAATAGATTTGTGAATGTGATGATAGTTGAGGATATATTTAGCTAATAATCTTTATTTTTATAAAGAGAATTATATATGTGTCACAAGAAGAAGATGGTGTAAAGACAAGGGAATCAATTTTTGTGTCAAAAACAAAAAACAATTGTCGTGTGAGACACAATTCTATTTACAAAATGAAAACAAACTATCTATATACAAACAAAAACCCGGCGTGTAGCCAAAGCAAAATTGTTTATTAATGTCAGCTTACAGTTACATATACCAAATTTAATAATGTTGATATGATGTTAATTAAGTTGTTGTTAAGTGTATGAATTCAATAATGTTTATAAATTCAATAATAAGTGTATAACATTATATTTATAGCATCACTTTTTTTTAATACCCCGATTACCAAACAAGGGACATCTGTAAGTTCCCCAATATTTTCATGTGTTTTATTAGTCTACTAATGTTTATTGGGTGTTTTCAGCGCAAAGTGTAAAGAAATCGAAAGCGCTTCGCGGGAAACGGCTAATAATATTAGCCATGGTTGTACCTATTGCTGGAGTTATTCTTTTGGTCCTTTGTTTCACAAGGAAAAATAGAAAAGGTGCGTCTGCATTCTGCTATTAATTGGTTTTTCTTAGTATAATCAAAATTAAGATTATATAAAATGTAAATAAAACTAATTACTATAAGCAAAACAAAATGTTCACTAATAAGTATTCAATATACGAAGCATAATCAGAAGCAATACTTCAATTCACTACAAGAAAAGTGCGCATAGACCGCACATAGACCAACTTTTTTTTTGCGATGACCACATAACTGTCGTTAAAAACACTATCAATCACACATTTTTTTATTTACCACATACAAAACTGTGGTAAAAGGTCAGAGACGACTGTTTTTAACTGTAGCCAATGTTTTTACCACGGCTGTTGTGGCGACGCACGTAAAACTGACGCAAAACTGTTGTAAATGTTCCTCATGTTTTTACGACAGTTTTGCGACAGTTTTACGTGCGTCGGCACAACAGCTGTGGTAAAAACATTGGCCACGGTTAAAAACTGTCGTCTCTATAGCCTGCCGAACTCAAACCTTCGTCAAACTCGCCGCTCCCTAATTCAACCCTCTTTGCTCCTCACATGTTTAAGTCGTTGCTCACCGCCATCCTGGTCGTGACACCACGACCTCTCATGGTTGAGCCAAAGAGGCAAGCCTCTGATTAGAGTCTTCACCATACTCGATTTCTCACCTTTCATCCTATGCATTTCTGTCGAAGTTAAGTGAAAACAATCCCTGAAAAACTCCCAAATACGCCAACAAATTAAGAATATTCATCTACTTTTAGAAAGATTCAATAGCAAGAATGACCGTATTGCTTATCATACCATTATTATTACATTCAATAGCATACATCATTTTCATTCATCATTTTCATTTACCCCAGTGCCGCAAAGGCTCTCACCTACGATAGGGTAAGGAGAGGTCAAATGTATGCAGTCTTACCCCTGTACTAAAGCACAGAGAGACTGTTTCTGGATAACCCATAGTGAAAATCGCGTCCAAAATTACATTGTCATTATTTATTTAATTTCAATTAAGAGTGGTAAAACTCTATTGTCACCTTTAATGCAATTTTAGGCATATTTGTAAAAGAGTTCGCTCAATTACCAATGAATTGGAAAAAAATGACCAATTCAACTTTTTAAATTTATCAATATGTCAGGGGTTCTTTTTACTAATCTTTCGAATTACCCTTTAATGCCCTTGATTGTTTTACCAATTTAGTCATTTGGCCTGGAAACTGTATCATAATCATGATTTATGCTTTAGCAACTCGACCGCAACAACCTAATTAATGTGGGTTACCACTTCGCAATCATATGAAGGGTCTGCAAGTGCAATGTATTTGGAAGAAGCTGCACCTGCTGATGTAATAATCTTTGATGTAAACACAATTAAAGCAGTCACGGATAACTTTTCTGCTGATAATAAACTTGGAGAAGGAGGGTTTGGTTCTGTTTTTAAGGTACGTAATCACTCTTTCAAAATTGGATTTCTAATTCTTATGCGTGTAATAATTGCTAGTTAATCAGTATATTATCCGTATATTTTATTGCTGAATTAGCTTAACTGTTGCTTGCACTTTTAGGGTAAGTTGCAAAATGGGAAACTTGTAGCTGTCAAAAGGCTAAAAACAAGTTCAGATCAAGGGACAGAAGAATTAAAAAATGAAGTTATGCTGATTGCCAGACTACAACACAGAAATCTTGTCAGGCTTTTAGGATATTGCATTCAACAAAGGGAGAAGATGTTGGTCTATGAGTACATGCCTAATAATTCTCTCGATAACTTCATTTTTGGTACATGATTAATTTATACTACATGCACTTAGAATTTCACAGTATATCATTTAATAGGGTATATGGTTGCAACTTAAATTCTTTAATTATTTCTTAAATAGAACGGTAGAAATTTCTCAACATAGGAATAAAATAGGATATTAGGATCAAATGTGTTTTATTCCTCAAATATGACTTATTTTATTCAAATAAAAGAATAAGTTGATTAGAACTTTAAATAATCTGAGTGGATGAGTACTATTTTGGAAATAAAACATTGATAGTTCTATTTGTGAACTTTGTCCTTATTTTGGTCTTATTTAGGGAATGTTCTCATTATGTAATCGTAATTTGAGAACGAACTTTACTCACTAGTCATGCATGCATACAGATAATGTGCTAGAGAGTTCTCTAAGCTGGAGAACACGTTCTGAAATCATATCCGGAATTGCGCAAGGATTGTTATACCTTCACCAAGATTCGAGGTTAAAAATCATTCATAGAGATTTAAAAGCAAGTAATGTTCTCCTAGATGCTTCCATGCAACCAAAAATATCTGATTTTGGAATGGCAAGAATTTTCGGAGATGAGCAAATTGAAGCGAACACAAATCAAGTTGTTGGAACATAGTATGTATCTTATATGTGCAAACTTGAGTACAAAAGTTTTAAATGAATCAGATTTGGTGATTATCATTTCAATATATTTCAGTGGTTATATGTCGCCAGAATATGCCATGGAAGGTCACTTCTCAGTAAAATCTGATGTATTTAGCTTCGGTGTTTTGATGCTTGAAATAGTTAGTGGCAAGAAAAACAAATATCAACACACAAGGAATTCCGTGAATTTAATAGGAGATGTAAGTCCATATTTGACCTAAAACTAATATATTTAAAAAATATATATATATATAAAAGTTTGATTTTTAATTTGTTGTACATTTTCAGGTATGGAGTTTTTGGAACGAAGAAAAAGCATTGGACATTGTCGATCCATTATTAGGAAGAGATAATTCAACTAATATTCGAGAAATGTTGAGATGCATTCACGTTGGATTGTTGTGTGTGCAACCACTACCACATAACAGACCAAACGTTTCAGAAGTGATTTTTATGCTAAGTAATCAAATAGAACTTCCTTGTCCTAATCCACCTGGATTTATGGTAAAACAAGGAAATATGACGCCATCCTCATACCTTGGAAGCGGTGGAAATGAATCTAATAATAGTATGTCATTTTCTCAAATGGAAGGTCGTTGAATTGTTTGAGCTTTTTAATTTTTATGTGTAAATAATTAGTTCTGGGAAAGTCATCGTGCACTTACAATCAAAGACACTAATAGAGCATGTGGATTTCTTTCATAATAGTGAAAGTTAATTGTCAAATTGTACGTAAAAACTTGATGGTGAGTTATATTGTTGCCCTATGAGCTAGGCTATGAGAGTCGATTTGTTTATGCAGAACGTTTAGAAATAATGAATTCACATATTGCCAAGTTGAATGTTTAGTTTTTGACGTTACTCATGCAATGTGACAATATGAGTAGTGAGTAGTGACTATTGAGTATGCGGAAGGATGGTGTACAATGAGGCAATGAGCACACCGTATATTCTATGATATTAATATTCACATTCTCAATCTCTTAGACCATACGTAGTATATATCATCATTTTTTTACTTTATTTTGTAGTTTCACAGTTTTTTTCAACTTTGTTGTTTCATTTTTTTCTTAACAATTCTATAAATATTATTCATATTGGGCTTGTTTGGCATTCGGCGGTTAGCAGTTAACGGTTAGCGGTTAGCAGGTTGTTGATAGCGAATTCATTTAGCAGATTTGACCTACAGATTGAATCGGCGGGTTGCAGAAACACGTTTGATAATTTACCTGTTTAACCATAACGATTGGTAGATAAAATTACATATAGGGGCATCGGAAATTTTACTACGTAAAAATGTAGAATCCGTCTTTTGCTCGTTTATACCATTGTCATAACTAAAATAAGTTAATTAAACATCTTCGATAACAAATAAAACATCTAGATATTGCAAGCATGAAATTAATTTTCACCTTGATGGCCGACCTTTGGGGTGGAAACGGGCCAGGCCGGGCCTGTTTTAGAATATATAGGCCTGAGTCTGGTCTGTTACCTGTTAAAGGCCTGTTTTTTTCGGCCTGGGCCTGACCTGTTAAAAAGTCTGGCCTGGCCTGAAGCCTGTTTATCGGGCCTGTTAAGAAAAAAAATCAAAATTTTAAAAAAATAAAAAATGAAAAGTGAAAATTTTAAAAATTTATTCCCCAAATATTCACTAAAAAGTCTAATATTACTTTATTTTTGCCTTGGATGTCTAATAATACATTATTAGGGAGTATTATTATGTACTTTATAAATTTCTATATACTTTGAATCTTGAAAAACTTTGAATTTCAATTACCTTAATAAACTATTAACACCTTAATTTCTATTCTAATTTATAATACACACTCCCTAAAAATACTATTATACCGATTTTGTTATAGTTGAGTATATCAATATAAATATAAATAATATAAATAAATATAAATATAACTATATATATAGTTATACACACACACACACACACACACACATATATATATACACATATAAATAGACCGTCCTGTTAAGGTAAAAAAGCTTCAGAATTAGGCTAGGCCTATTTAGATAAACGGGCTTTTTGAAAAGCTCAAACCTAGTTTGATTACTAAACAAACTAGACCAGACTAGACTTTTAACAGGCCAGGCCACAGGCCCCTGACAGGCCGGCCGGTCTATTTTCACCCCTAACCGACCTCATAACATAAGTAGAAACTAACAAACCCATTATATATTACTCCGTAATTTAGTAAGAGATCCTTCTTATCCTTTGCATTCTTTTTTCGCTCATATTTCAATTTCTAGTGTCAGATCTCAATTGAGGCTTCTTTTTATAGCATCTACGTATCTTGTCTTTTCATTCTCCATCACTTTTGTAATAGATCGGTGGTGCTTATACGGTGTGTTCAACTTTGAATCTCGATCCATTAATGGTGGTTTCATGCCGTAAGTTATTTAAAAATAGGATAAATTAGTCTTTTGATTAATAAAGTGGAAACCGCCACTCTCAAACGCTGCCCCATGTAGTGATTTGAGTTTTGGCGTTTTTGATAAAAAGCTAATGCAATCTAGATTGGAAGAAGTGTATGGCCTTGACCGCGCAAAACATCCACCTTTTGACTCTCAAATTTGGCAAGAAATTACGGGTGATCCAAGAAAGGGACGTTGGGTTGGGGTTCCACCACAACTATCACACCCTCAACTTTTTCAAGCAATGAAACCCATTGAGGTATTATTTAATAGGAATTTTATCAATTTAAGACCTAAAAGTTGAGTTAACTATCAATTTTGGACCTAAAAGATTATTGCTCTCATTAAGGGACCTAAAAGATGATAAATCATCAGTATAAGACTCAAATAATTAACACCATTAACTTTTATTTAACGGAGGATGACATGGCAGCCACGCAGATCGTACTACTCTCTCTATCTCTCTCTTCGTTCATCTTCACCTTCCCTCATTACTTCTGTCTTAACTTCATCTTTACCTCCACAAACTTCTACGAAACTCCTCCACTCCCAGCCGCACCGGACTCTTCAATCTTCATATCCTCTTCTTTCGCCTCAACTTCGTCCTGCGACCAATCCAGCCATGGTGTCGTTTGACCATAGAATGAAGTAGCCATGAAAAGCTTATCAAGATTGGTAACTTGACCTTGAGAAACTTTTGATATTTCGTGTATCATTGCTAATTACAATTTTTTATTACTTTTCATCTACTTGAAAGTCCCATTTCAGAATTCCATTTTCAAAATCAGAGAGATACGCTGCCGCAGACTCTTCTAGATTTCCTTCTAGGCTTTGCATTTTCATGAAACTGTAGCATTCAAGGTACTTTCTTCTTCTCCTTTTTTGGAATAGTTTTCTTCTCCTTTTAATTCAGTGATATGTGATTAAAAAGTAAAATTTGTTAAGGGATTAAAGGGGTCCTACCCAAACTGGGTGTCCTGAGTCTAGACATTATCACACTCTTGAACGGCTCTGGCCATAGTTTTTAGAGGATCCCGGATTCGATGTGGCCCATACATAGAGTGTTATAGTCCAAGAGGTAATATTAACTGCCAATGACTAGTGTTTCCGGAGTCTAGAGGACATATCCATCGTTGGGATTGCAGAGCTAGTCTTAATTTTACGCGAAGATATATGACTTTTCCCTGTCTAATTTTAGACGGATTCGGGACGGACCCAGAAAATTCATCTTGGGAGGGCGATTATCTAAACAAAATATTTTTTGGGGGAACGAAAATTATTTTTCATATAAATATACACTAACAAAAATTTGTTGGGGGGCGGTAACCCTGGATCTCTACTATGGTCCGCCCCTAACTAGATTCAATCTCAAGACATAGAGTAGCTCACAACAGGTATGTATTTTGGAGAAGTGAAAAAAATTGACAGTGAAAAAAGAGATTTAAGGGAAACAAGTAGCTAGGGAAAAGGCACTCAGTGTTCCACCTCCTTAGATTGTGATTAGTGGCGTTGGGTTGAAATTTGCAGAGTTGTGGAACAATAGTGACAAGGAAAACGATCCAGATGATATTTACTGATGTTGGTCAGGATTCAGAGAAGTAGCTGAAGAAGAAAATTTTGAGGAAATCATCGACTCTCACTACAACAAATTTCATTTATAGAGGCAACTCGTTGGGGCAATTTACACAACATTGCCTCTAAAAACCTACTTTTGCGTCAAATAGATTATGGTTGCCTCTAATTTTGAAGATTTGAGGCAACCTTATTCTATTTGCTTCTAAAAGGTGCTATTTAGAGGCACACTCTTTTTGGTTGCCTCTGAATAGTCATATTTGGAGGCACACTTTTATGGTTGCCTCTAAAAGGAGCTATTTAGAGGCACACTTTTATGGTTGCCTCTAAAAGGAGCTATTTAGAGGCACACTTTTATGGTTGCCTCTAAAAGGAGCTATTTAGAGGCACACTTTTACGACTGCTTCTAAAATGTGTTGTTTGGAGGCACACTTTTATGACTGTCTCTAAATGTATTTATATTATTATACTACGTAATTATTTGTAATGCATATACTCAGAAATGTCAACTCGTTTATAAAGATAAAATTTATACTAAGTAATTAACATGATTGTAATTATTTTTATAAGTATAGTTACAATTGAAATTATTTTTATATTATAGTTCTAATTAAAGTTATGATTATAGTTACAATTATAATTTCGATTGTAATTATAATTGTACTTAAAAATTAAGATTGCCCCATTTTTACCTTTTTGGGAAATCCTATTAAGATTGTTTCATATCAAATTTGATAAAAATTGTGTGTCTCTAAATCATTTTTACTTTATTCTTATTTTATCAATTCAATATCAACCGCATAAACTTATTTTTCATAATATGTGTGTCACAAAGATTTGTTTCAGGTTAAATTAAATATTACGGAGTACTCCGTATAAAATTCAGATCGGAAAATTTTAAATTAGGCGGTAAACCTACACGGTAGCCTATGAACAAATAAGTTAATTTAAAAATCATCCGTATAACCTATTTTGTGTTGTAAATTCCTGAGAATGACAAGTGTGAATGTTTCATCCTTGTCATCAGGACACTAATCCAATTCCAGTCCTTGTAATAGACAGATGTTTAGGTTTAATGTTGCCAGCAAATTATGTAGAATCATTCCTAGATGATTCATCCCAAGTCTGGCTAGTATAAATAGAGCATTCAATGCTTTGTAAATTTAATTCAGAAATTCAGATACTCAGAAATTCCAGATATTAAGAAGAAGTAATTTAGAGGTTTTTATCTATATATCTATCTCTTAATCTATTCTGCATCTTCTTCATTTCACAACACGTTATCAGCACGAATTTGCTTAAAACTCTTGGAGAAATCATCTTCCTGCAGGTATGAGCATCATGATTAATTATCTTCTTTAAATATAATACTACGTACTAAGTACGTAAGTATACTAATTGGTTTAATTCCCAAATAAAACCTACGTACTATTTTTTTTTCTCATAATAGAAGAAATAAAAGTTTACCTCCTGGTAAGTGTTCTCTTCAATTCTGAACCCTGATAATTAAGCTCTTCAATTCGTATAATACAAAAGCCGAAACATTATGATTTCAGCAAGAATATAATAGTGCTACGCAATACGGAGTATAAAATAAAGAAGAAAGATGATTGATAGGAGAACAATTTAGATTGCTCGTAGATATAAATGATATATATATATCTCAGATACACTATACTAGAATTCAAGGATTTTAAGTAAAATAATAGACATGTGTCACTCATGCACCTCTCCCTTTTGTCTCTGTTTGAAAAACGGTCATAATACATCGAAATACTACACTTGGCTTAGTCACGAGCAAAATAAAAACAAAGTAATAAACATTTACTCAGACCTTGAACAGTACGCATTGCATGGACTTAAGCTTGTATCTCTATTATTTTAAATGATACGTAACTATAAAGAAGTATATATATAAACTAACTTTACTAATTGTGTATATT